CACATCGCTGGTGTGGCCCTCCAGCACCTCACAGGAGGCACTGTCCGCGGTGTACCGCATGGCGCCCGTCCCGTCGTCCGCAGCATGCCACACCCGGATCGTGTCGTCCCACGACCACGAGACCAGGACAGGCAGCTGGCCATCCGCACTCGGCAGCGCAATCACACCCTGTACCATGCTAGTGTGGCCCTCCAGCACCTCCACGCGTTCACCAGTTTGCACGTCAAGTACGTCCACATTATCCTTACATCCACCAGCAACCAGTGAGCCACCGATGTTGATGACATTGGCATACTTGCCATCAAAGCGAAAGCGCTCAGCACCACGATGCGCGACAGGGTCCACGGCTCTCGATGGAATGAGAGCCTTAGACGAAGCATCTTCGCGCACAGCAGCAACCAGGTCCTTCACGGCTTTGGACGCGTTGTCATAGGCAAGTCGGGCGACAAGCTCGGTCTCGATGTGCGACGTACCGCTCTCAATGATCTCGCGTGAGAGCGACAGCGCACGCTCGACCTCGTCAACGTCTTTGGCTCCTTCACAGCCGAGGCGCACAACACAACGCAGATCATTGAGGAGGCCACCAAGCGAGTCGTCTGCGCGGGCTTTCATCCACGGCCAGGAGAGAGCAACGGCAACGGCAGCATGGTTCGCTCCGGCTGCAATCAGGTGCGAAATACCGCGGGTGACGATCCAATCGGAGGCAGTGCCAGAGGTCATGGTCTCCTTAGCGGACTCTGGCGTGGCACCAGGCGGAGGCACCCCGGCGACAACGGCGAGGTGACGGGCAGGAAGGGAAGGGATGTCGTCAAAGCACACCTCAAGCCGATGGCGAATGTACTCGAGGTGCAGATCGTGCAGCTCGACTACGGTTATGGCGCCGCCATCCGTGGCAACGACGCGCAGGAGAGAGGCATCGGCAAGGGCATCGAGGGCCGCAGCAAAGTCAATATCGTCTTTTGGGACTGTGGCGCGGAAGTTGGCGACGTCGATGGGCGCGTCTGATGGAAAGACGCCGAGCATGGCGTAAATGGCGAGTGCCATCGGACGGTCGAGGTCGTCGATGCTGCGGAGGGTCCATGTGATGATATCAAAGATGTGGGCGTACTTGGCGTCGGTGCCGCCTTCTGACTTGCGGTGCTTGTGGAAAGCACGTTTGGAGGCCGAATCAAAGTTGGCAACAGCGGTGTCAAGTGCAGCCTCGCCAGAAATGGACGAGCCAAGGACGGCGAGGGCGAGGGCATGGCCATGGCAAAAGGTCGCGAGGGAGACGATGCGGGGATCGTTGAGAGCGAGGGCAGTTGCCCACTCAGGTGAGCCCTTGGCGAGGTAGTTGCGAAGGACAACAGCAGCGTCGTCCGGGCCAAAGGTGCCAAGCTTGATGGAGGAGGCGGTGTTGGTAGCAACAGCGGCGTTACGCGAGGTGACGAGGACGGCATGCGGGGCTGCGATGTGGTTGGTGAAGACGGAGGCCTGGCGGGTGGTCCAAACATCATCGAGGATGAGCAGGATGCGAGTCCTGGCATTGGCGAGGGCCCGGGTTTTGGCAGCAAGAATGGGTTGGAGGTCATCGAGGTTGGCCTTAGTATCGACTGTGCAGCTCAGACCCTGCTTGAGAAAGTAAGACATGCGGCTGGCAAGAGCTGGGTTGGACGTATTGTCCTCACCAAGTGAGAGCCAGAAGACGGAGAAGGCGGAGATGATGGCGGGATGGATGGCGACATCGGCAGCGAGTGACGACTTGCCGACGCCACCGAGCCCGTTGACACCAACGACTGAGACGTTGTTCGCACCGAGAAGCGCGTCAATGACCGCAGCGCGAGTGTCAGGGAGCGGGTGGTACTCGGGTGGATTGAGTGGCGGCGGCATGCGGGAAGGTAGCTGCATCGTGCGGGCAAGGATGGCGAGGGAGCGCTGAGCAATGTCAACTAGGGCGGCACCCTGGGAGATGCGGCGGGCGTCGTAAGTGGCGAGACCCCAGTCCATGAGGCGGTAGACCGTGCGGACGTGATGGGCCTTGCGATCGTGCGTGAGAAGATGATGGCGCCAAGTGTCGTACTGGTGCTTCTTGTCACCCGAAGTGAAGAAGGTGTCCATCAAGGTGACAAGCGGATGCGGATGGGTGTGGGTGTCAAGATTGTGGCGAGCGAGGAAGGCAGTTTCAACCAGCGCGCGATAACTGTCAGTGCCCTGGGCACGGACATTGGCTGCAGCGAGATCGACATCGAAGCGGGCACGGGACTCGTCGTCGGCGGGCCGGACTGCGGCACTGTGCAGTCGGCCAAGCTCAGCAAGCGAGAGGTCGCTGTCGATGAAGACCGGGAAGACGGCATTGCGGCCGTTGGCAGCGCCCTCAAGCGCTGCGTCGGCTTCGGCGATGGCGTAGCGCGTGACGACAAAGTACTTGGTGACGAGGACAAGAACAAGCCGGGAACGAGCGACGATGGCGGCACAGTCGTCTGGATGGGCGCAGCGGATGCCGTCAAGCGACTCGACGTCGACGAAGACACGGAGCATTGGATAGCGGGCGAGG